AGAAAGAAAGAAAGAAAGAAAGAAAGAAAGAAAGAAAGAAAGAAAGAGACTACATGCTATATTAATCAAGAAGATCTGTAACAATAATATTTAATAACTCACTAGTTATCTCTGATAGTTCTTAAGATATTCTTCAGTTTTCTTACTATTGTGTGAACTATTTTCATGTGTTATATTTGAGTATTTATTTTCTGTTGGCATGGGCATTATAAAATATCTGTCCCTTTTTGTTTCCCCCCTTTTTACATAACTTTCCAAAATGTAATTCCCCGGCTAAAGAGGCAAAAAGGGTTATTCTGAATTGGATATCAAGGGTACCAATGTTTAGCAAATTATTCAGCTTCTGAGTCACTTAAACATATTTTGGTTTTCCAGACACTCTTCTTCTGGAGTTAGTAGCAAAAATTAAAGGTTTACTAATGTAATTATATTATATTATTTAATTCCAATCTAAACATTAGGAAAGTCAAGATGAAATTCTCTGCAGTAATAACGGAATTCTATTAAATCCTTACAAATTAGTATCTCTAAAATTCTTCGCCAACACTCCTATCTTCTAAATCCTGGTAGCAGTAGGGTTACAAGATTTAAACAAGAAGAATGTTAAAAATAAAAACAGCAGGGTCCCGTGGCACCTTAAAAGCTAACGATGTTTATTGCAGCATATGCTTTCATGGCCTAGAGCATTGCCAGAAGACAAGTACAACTATTTCAATTTATAAATGTGATTTACTGTTTTTTTCATATAACCTCTTTGGGCCAAATTACTTATGACAGGCTGTTCCATAATTCTTCCTGAGAAAGCAGACTGGAACACTGAAATTTGGAATAAGGAGCTCATAGGAAATGGTCTTTCAAACCTAAGCAGCTAGAATCTCTAGGTTGGTCTTGGTCTAAGTCTCTTGATAAGAGTAAATAGCAAGGGTAGTTTTAGCTAATAGGCACACTATGTAAGTGGACTGCAAAGTAAAAATTAAGAAAAGGAATTGATAGCTAGTAGGATAACTTACGGGTTATAGGTCACTTACACAAGCACATTCTAGAAACAAATGCTAAATAAATATTTATATCAGGTTTGGCTACTTTCTTAAGGGCACAATGATTTTTTAAAAATCAGAAATATTTTTAACACTGGATTCGTTGTAAACTAAGGTACTAGACAATCATATGCTTATTTCTTTCCACAATTCCTTAATATCTTCTCCTTAAATAATACTCAAATCTCCAATTTAATCTTGTCATAATAGTTTAATACTTTTCCATGCACTCACATGCCTATTCAAAATTATTGTTGTGCACTGATTAGGAAAGTAGCCTGAGAATATAATTTTGGGAATCCAAATTTCAAGAAGAAAAACATTGATCTAGTTTGCTTAAGAAGCAAATTATTATGCACTCCCCATGAGCATGCCTTAAAACACAAACTGTAGGAAACATAACGTCTGATATTAAAAAAATCCCATAATAGATGGGCAGACTATATTGCACCAATTCTGTAACTGTGGCGTATATCAAAGCTCAATTCAAAATTTTATTTTTTTGTAATTAAAAGACTTAAAATTATTTGGGTCCACGTTATATTAAGAATCATCTATACTTTTCTGTATCTGGGCATTGTTAAAATGATCACAGAAGGAACTGTTGTTAAGATCTGTAAGATAACAACCAACAATGAAATTATCTTGTTTACGGTATCTGTTTTTTATTTCATATTATGCTTTAAGACTGCAGTTCAAATCCTCTTATCTAGAAGTAAGCATCACTGAACTTTGGAGGACTTAATTTTCAGGAGATAGAAGGACTATCCTGGAAAGCTTTGGATTTGGTTTATTTTTAACTGGTTCTTGATTTTTTAAAATCAAACTTTGGGGGGGCTTCTGATATTTATGCTGGATATTTTTTATAGTTAAACTACTTGATAAATCTTGAGAAGCATCTAAAATTGCATTATTTGAGATTCTTTCCCATACATTCTCCTATCCCGATCCCATCCAAGCTCCTCCCACCCCCACCCCCACAAAACCCTATGCACATTAGAGCTGTTAAAAACATTTGGAAGAGGAACTTTATAAAGCATGCTCATATGAGCTAATCATAATGCTCTGGTGTGTTAATGCAGCTGTATCTTCCAAAATGTTCTGCATAGTTGCAGATGCTTGCACAAGCTCAACCATTTTGATTCACAGGCAGACACAGCTGAAGTGCGGTCTATGTATACATGGGGAAAGAGTTCAAAAGCATCTACACTAAATTTTCTAAAGTATGTAGTTGCTTCTTTAAAGAAAGATGCATAGATTGAGGCAACACATTTTAAAAAGCACCCCTTTTGAATACTTCTTTTTAACCTTGCTACAGAGGAAAGTTGTGCTTGTCTGGCAGAGAATAGCTTAAAAAATAATAAACCAATATTTATGCTTATTAAAAACAACAACAGAAGGGCCAAGCACATATTGTTTAGCAACTGTAATTTGATTATTTTCAGACCCAAACATGTTTGAAAATATGAATACAGATTGAACAAAAGATACAATAAAGTTTTAACTACCATAAATAAATGTCTGAATTGTAATTTATAAATATGGTTACATAGCACATCTTTACTTGTGGCCCCTTTTAATCTAGATTTTAATCAGTATTTGAATGGATCTTCATCTTGGAATGGGGTGGAATGGAATGGTATAAGGCGGGGGTTGGCAACATGTAGCTCGAGAACCGCATGTGGTTCTTTGGGCCCTCTCCTGTGGCTCCCTGTCAGATGATCCCACCACTGGCTGGCCCCGCCTCTCACCCTCCCCTCACAGTCACTCACCTGCCCTGAGAAGGGAAGGGTAACAGTGGCGGATGGAGACTCGCTCCATATTCCAGAGCGGGAGCAAAGTGCCCCTCTACTTGCCTCTTCTTCCAGCCCTTCTTGATGCTGCATGCACCAGGAACAGGCACAAATTTTCTCTTTTCCGAGACACTGGGCAGGTGGCTGCAGTCAATGTCCTCATCCTAATGGGCTTCAGGAGGAGGAGGGGATAGCAAGAGCAGCAGCATTATTGTCTCAGAGGGGAGAGAAAGATGCGTGTCTCCCCATATTCCTCTCGCCACCACCATGGCCAGCTCGCTGCTCTTGCAACGCCTTATGCAGCACACTTAAATTTAGCACACTTCACAACGTGGGAGACAGCGTCCTCTCCTCCATTGTGAACACATTCAATACCCCTTAAATTAAACAGCGTCATTTTCGGGAGCTAGGAAACATCATGTCATGTTACCTGCCCATCATGTTGCCTGCCTTTCCCTGAAATTTGGGTGGCTTCCATTCTGATGGCATTTTGAAGGCCTTAAAGACCTGGCTTTAATCCCAGTTCCTGGGCTAGGATGACTGATGGAATTGCTGAGTACATGATATTTATTATATATGTTGATCAGGCCAATTTTTTTATTGTTTTATGTAGATTGATATTTATATATTGCCTTGCATTGTAAGCCATCCAGAATCAGTCTTGATTTGGGTGGCACCTAACAAACCTAGTATCATTAATCTATAATGATACTAAAGGTAGCTAACTATAATTAATGATAAAGTATTAAATATCCAAATAAAACATATATGGAAATATGGCTAGAATCCTTCAGAGTCTTCTTGAAATTACCTAATTGTTAATTATCCAGTTGCTATATTCATGGAATCTTGGTTGTGCTGACTTTGTATGATTATTCTATGTTTGTGCATGTGTATGTGCAGATATATGTGTG